TATGAAGATATAAGCCTGATACACACAGAGTGAATCCTCCACCAGTATCTGAGGTCTGGGTATCTTGGCGATGACCCTAAACCTGAGCTCAACCCTAACCCGGCACAATCAGTATATATTTACATATAAAACCATGCAGGGTTCAGGTTAGGCAGGTTAGTGTCATCGATGACTCAGACCTCGGAGGGTTAAAGAACATGATCTGGATCCACTGCAGAACTGAATGAGCTTACATGTTTCACGAACTCCAGCTTGTCAGTCTTTTTCGCTGTCAGACATGATCACATCCCCCTCTCCCTCACTGAGGAAGAATAGGAGGTTGTTTACAGCTCAGAACATGCGTGCACTGGGGTAAAGATCTAGACTAATGACTCCTAGCTCTTGGCACAATAACATATCATTGTATATTAATCCTGCATCCTTGTTGCTGAATAGGCTCCAGCCAGATAGTTGGCTGTGCCTCAGCCCATTCACAAAGCGAACACACACTCCAGACTTTCTCCTCCCAGCCTGCCAGCTCTGATATGTGGACTGTTTTGCATTACATGGCCATGTGATTTCTCTTAGCTGTAGAAATACAATCAGTGCTAAAAGTTTCCCATGAAAAGTCAAAGATCTGCATTTGGAGCTGCCACAGAACCAAACTTGGAATGATTCAGCACTTCCACTAAAACACAGTTTCCCTTCACTGACTGTTGCACACAGCGATTTCCCTTCTTTGCCAAGAATTTGCAAACAGTGGGATATTTAAGATTCATAACCTAAAGGTCTGTCGCTGGTGTTTTAGTTGTATCCTCTGGCTTTAATTATGCTTTTATGAGCTTCATGATCCACTGTTATATTTTTCCCAGCGAAGTCAGTGTAGTATAACATGTCAGCTGTGAGCTGCTGATTCCTGCCCATTCCTGGCATCGGTGAGAGTCTGCTGTTTGTGGGATCAGAGTTGCTTCCTCTGCATTTGCTAAATTTGCCCAAGGTTAATTAAAATCATCTGGGTGTCGTCTTACCTAGTTTGGGGTCACTGTGTCCAGACCCCTTTTTTGGGGGCGGGGGGGAATGGAGTGAAAGATGAACCCCGGTTCCAACCTTCAGCCACGCTCCTTTCTTCCTTTCCTGCTCAATAGAAACGTGAATTTACTACTGCCGAGTGCAGCTGATGGGGGAGGGCCAGAGTTGAAGGGTGTCGAGTGGATTTATCACTTCTCTGAAAATGTGTTTGCACACAGGGGTGTCACTATGAAGTCGAAGAATAAGGTGGGGGTCGGTTTCCTGAGACAAATCACAGTGATCAGATTTGGGTCATTTCCCATGTCACTCATGGACAGATATGTCGGAGAAAATGGCCTTTGGGGACAGACTGAAACAAAGATTCATTGTGTGGAAAGACTTTACGTCCCTGCTTTTCATTACGTTTTACCTTCGTTTGGGCCACGTTGGTCATGTCCTGCACCCAGTGACTTGACATAGATCTGGAAATGAAGGAAAAGTGAACTCTGCTGGCGTAGAAGCTGTGTGTGAAAGCTGCTGTTTTCAGTCATTTTGATTGCAGTAAATAAACTAGCTTTTCAAGACGGAATAATAAATGGCCTGTGACAGTCAAGGGAACCAAAAGCCAGAAAATGAGTCTGACACCATGCAAGTGGCTGTATAAGGATGTACTTAGGACTTCACTATACTATGGTAAGATGGCATTATTATACAATCATCTATCATATATGATATCTGTGTATTTAAAAAAGGCATGTCAAATTCACTGTGGACCACACACAGCCCACTTTGATCTTAATTTTAAATCCCTGTGATAATTTCAACAGTACATCTCAGTTTCTCCGCATGATAAAGAAATGCTGCTGTAATCTATTACTATGACATGCTGGGCTTTTATTAAAAAAATAAATATGTCAAATTACAGAAGAAGTTTTGGTAGCTCATTCCCGAGACTGTCCTGAATTTATAAAACAGAAAGTTCCTGTGAATTCACTGATTTCTTTTCACTTTGAATATATATATATATATATTTTTTTATATATTAAAAAAACATTTCTGTAGTAGATAGTTAATAAAACAGGAGGTTTTGATGAATTTAATTATTCATATATTACTTAATTACTTGTAGTATGAATGGTGTGGGGTGGTCTGTATAAGTAGGGAAAGCTGTAAAACCTATGAAAGTACAGTCAAAAGGTACTCTGACCCCCCAGGTCATTTAAAAAAATAATTTACATTTAGATTCTATTAAGAGTTTCAACTTTCAGTGGCAGCATCACAAAATAATACATCAAGTACTGATCATTTTTGGCATATTCACATTCACATCAATGAGCTTAGCCTGTAACGCTGAATCCCGACTTTACTTAGTGTTGCTGCTTTCAGCTCTTTGTTTTGCTTTGGCTGTTTTTGTTCAGTCTTGCTGCTCTTGAAAAACCTTTGAAAACTTCGATTGGCAGAACCGAACATGAGTGAGAAACACTGTGGAGAATTAAGCAGCTAAAGAGTCACAGATGAGTAGCTTCCTCAGGGGCTGCTGAAGAACAGAACAGATCTACAGGAGGGAGATTATAGTGCTTATTTTAATCGTGCGGCTTAAAGCAGACTGCAAATGATTGTTTGTTGACTGTGTAACTCTTGCACAATCAGACACTTTTTGTTCTGATCTAAAAATAGTCATATGTGCATTACGTAATCATTAGGATTGTGATATATTAACCCTCTGACCCTGACGTCTCGTCACTGGTAATGACCCAACCCAGTCCCTGTGTTTTGGAGAAGAGTGTTTTCAATGTTAGCCTGACAGCACTAGTTTAGGGTTGGAGTCATTGTTGATGATGGGTACTTTGGTTACGGTTGGTTATAGTATATCGCTTTAGGTTAATAAAAAATAAAAATCTGGTTCAAAAACTGTTTTTCTCTGATAAATCTATTCAATTCTCAGTGTTACATGGAACTTATGGTTTTATGTGAAATAGGAAGTCTGCATAAACTGTTCTTTTAACAGCTTTCAACAGCTTTCAAAAAGGTAAGGCTCAGTGAAAACGTAGTGATGATGTTGCGCTTCTCTTTGCCCAGTGACAAGACAGAGGTTTACTTGGGAGACGAAAACTCTGTGAGCCTGACCTTCAATGCCAGGAACGAGGGAGAGGGCGGTGCGTACGAGGCTGAGCTCTATGTGGCGCTTCCCCCAGAGGCTGACTACAGCGGGATAGCACGCAACAACGTGGTGAGTCGGTGGCGTTTAAAAGGAGGTTTAAGTATCACGGTCAGAAGCACCGTGTTTTTTCACTCAAATGATAATTATGCATAAAAATGCTTTAATGCCAGTAAAATGTGGAAATTATTTTGACTTTGCCATCGTAATGTTCCGCTAAAAGAGTTTTCTCAACCTGACGCCCTCCTTGTTGAGTTAAAGCTGTGAAAGAACGTGAATACACTTTGAATACATTTTTTGAAAGCCCTGAAATGCAGCTGGTTGGTAGAGTCACACTCTAACTCTAGTCAGAGTTTTGATTTATTATTCTAACAACTTGTGAGACTGAAGAAGTCACTTGGCTGAGTGACGAAACGTTTCTCACACTGAAAACGCTACGTCCAGATGAATCTTCTTTCCTTACCTGGATAGCTGAGCATGCACCAAGACAACAACTCTTTAGCTTTTACAGCAGTATACTTAATAAAGTTAAATACATGATGGAGTTTTATTTCTTTGTGTCCTTTCCAGAGCTTGACTCAGCTGACCTGCAGCTACGAGGCAGAAAACCAGACCCGCTATCTCGTGTGTGATCTGGGAAACCCCATGAAGTCTGGTACCAGTGTAAGAGCCAATAAGACCCACATGTTATTTTTGGCCTTTCCCACTCTTTGTGTCTCAGTACAATTAAGCCAAGTTGACTTGCATAATTCATACATAAGCAAACTCGACATGTTTTCTCACCGACCTGATAAAACCTGATAAACATTGCTTTTGTGTTGAAAGAGTTTTCATTCCTTGTTTCCAAAGTGGGCGTCTCTAAGAAAAAGAACCCAGACTCTATTTAACACATTTATTTCCTTTCTCATGTTCCCTTAAATAACTGCGTGAATTTTCTGTGGTTGTTTTTGTAGCTGTGGGCCGGTCTTCGCTTCACCATCCCCAGACTCAGCGATACTTACAATACTGTTCAGTTTGAGCTCCAGATACGAAGGTAGGCCACTTTTTAGGGATTCCAGTTCAAGTGGGATGGGGTATCTTTGGCAACTGCATACCAGTGGAGCAGCTTTTAATCCAAAGTATTCTCTTAATTCTTATTATAAGCTACATACAGTTTTTTTTTAACAAAAATTCTTTAGGGCAACCAAGTAAATCTGTCATCATCACTGTTATTGTGATTCTGTGGTGTAGTGGTTAACACATTTGCATAATGATCCTCAGTTTGATTCTGGTAGGACGAACAGGAGTCACAAAGCCACTTCAGGGATTGGTGCACTCTTAGTGCTGCTCTGAAGCTCAGATAAATGGGAGGGTTATGCTGGGAATGGTATCCAGTGTAAAATCTGTGCCAAATCATCTGAAACCCCTCAGGAAATAACAGAGCAGTTAAACATACATACTACTAGTGCTAGCTCATGCTGAAGTCAACCTCAGTTGATGTCATTGCCAGTCCACACCAGCTGACTTCTTTCTACACATGGTAAATCCCATATAGGGCATGCTATTAGGCTGCTTTAGCTGCTTTCAACGTTGCTGCACCTCAACCCCAGCTCCTTGATCTATTCAGTTCAGTTTTATTTATACAGCACAACATCAGTCACCTCAAGGCGCTTTATATTGTAAGGTGGACCCTACAATAATACATACAGAGAAAACCCAACCCCCTATGAGCAAGCACTTTGGCGACAGTGGGAAGGAAAAACTCCCCTTTAACAGGCTGTTGTCACAATGCCTGCTCTGTTCTTCCTAGGATTTTTTTGGAAGGGTTGAAATTTGGATTTCCATTGAAACCAAAACAAATTACACAATGTGTCAATAAAGACTTTCAACCTGAATATTTCATTCATGAAGACTTGATGTCTGAGTTAAGTGATCCCTTCACTTTTGGAGTAGCATTTAAGTTGCTGCAGATGGAAACAGCCTGTTTTAGTGATCCTGACTGAACCGCGGTTAATGTGGCTGCGTTGTAGTGATATCACACCAGCAAACATTTTGATGTTGAGAAGGTGATGGTGATCCACATCTAGTCTTCCAAACTGAAAGTTGTACTAAGTTTGGAAATTCTTAACCTTTCTGCAAGTTTGTGTTCAATTGTTTTATACTATCCCTTTATCAATTAGAACAAACTGAAACTGACAAAACACGCTTCATTGAGACAAGAGGAAGAACGCCAAGAAAAAAATGTTACTCATCCTACCAAAAAAAGGGACTGTGACCTGGAAAGTGACCTGGATACTCTGGCTCCTCTAAAAATAAAGGCTCCATATGAAAAAGCAGTTAACCTGTAAGCTAGAGAGGAAATGGCATCCCGCTAATTTAAAAGATCTTTTTTTTAGCTTGGAAAAAGAGTTTGTTGCTCTATTTCTGTGGAAAGTGAACAAGATTTTCTCCAGAAACTAGAAAACACCTTTTGTAAAGCTAGAACATCTTTCGATTTGTCACTGATTCAGTGCTGAAAACAAGAACAACCCAGGTTTATTTAGTCAGAGCTTCGTTCAAATAGTCTTTGAATCTGAATTAAAATGACTTTGTTCACAAGTAAAATTTTAACCATTAAAGAAAAAAAAAAGATATAATGAGCAGCTACTTCCAGTACTACTGATATTTATTTAGACTCATTCTCTCTGATTGATCTTTCTGTAATAACTTCAGTAATTACTTCCTCCAAACCAGCAATGCATCTACTAATGTGGGGTCTTTATGTTGTGTGTTTGAATATTAGCGTGCAAAATAACTTAAACTCCCACTGGTTAAATAATACCTCATGTGAAAATACATGTTCCTACTGTGTTATCCAAATATTTTTGATTCATTTTATCTTGTATGTTTTTTTTGGTAGCATTTGCAAAGTTAGTTTGATATATATATGTTTAATAACTTCTCAGCTCACTTCACTAAAAGTCTACAAAATTCAGGTTTGTAAAGCTGTTTAATGCTTCTTGATCAGGTGATCAGGGCTGTTTCAGTAACATTACGTTTTTGTGGTTTGTTCTAGTAAAAATGCAAATAACTCTGAGAGTGAAGTGGTGTTTTATGAGCTGAAGGTCTCTGCCATGGCTGATGTCATTCTACAGGGGTGAGGCTTCACTTTAGACACATAACTATGACATCATTTTTCTTAACCTTCATTCTTGCCAAGATAAAAGTGTGACTGTGCCGTTTGCAGTGTTTCTCGGCCAGACAAAGTCATCTTTCCTCCTCCCAACTGGACTGTGCGACAGGGTCTGGGGGAGGAGCAGGAGATCGGCCCTGAGCTTCAGCAGGTCTTCGAGGTAAAAATAACATCTACGATACACAAGAAGCTAGTCCTATCACGTTTGCGCACTGAAACATAGAAGAGTAATACATTCAAAATATCACCAACTTTTAATGTGAGTATGGTAGTGTTGGTGAGCTTAAATTAATAGTCGTGTAAAATAGGAGCTCGGCTATTTCACTAAAACATTTTGCACTGTGAAAAAGAAGCTAACATTAGCTTCTGAGGCTTAAAACGTCAGCTGTGGTTACAAAAAAGTACACATAGGTGCCAGTGTTCACAGGAATGACTGTCCAAGAGCTGCATCTCAGACTCTACAGGCCTCAGTTAGCATGTTAAATATTGAAATTCATGACAGTACAATTAGGAAAAGACTGAACGTCTTTTAAAAAACAAATTGTCTCTTCTCTCCAGCAAGAAAATAGAATGGTTACAGTTTTGTAATGTTGCATCTAAACGAACCAAAAGACTTCTGAAACAAGGTGGTGACATTTTGCCATAATGCGCAGTGGCATATTTGGAAAATACCTCAGACCAGATGTCAAACACGGTGGTGGAGGGTTGATGATTTGGGCTTGTTTTTGGAATATTGGAGTCACCAAGTCAGGCATGAACTCCTCTGTATAAATATTCCAGAATAAAATCTCAGGCCATCTGCCTAACAGACAGATCAACAACAGGAAAATGATAACAAGCATAGCAGCAAATCTACAATAAAAGAATCAAGGTGTTGCAATGGCTGAGACAAAATCCAGACCCCAACCTGATTGAACTGCTGTGCATAAACCAAAGCCTGTAAACCTCCAGCAACGTAAAGAAGAGTGGGTCAAAATTCCTCCACAGCTATGTGAGAGACTAAAAGTTAATACTGCTTAAGGTTGTTCTACAAGATAAATAGGGAGCTGTTCATAAGCCATAATCATTAGTTTTTCTTATGCTCTTTCTGTATGTTTATGTGTTTTAAATGATCTTATTCTTCATTTTGTTTTATTTTTAGTATTATGTGTCATTACAAAAAGTTGCAAATCTTCAAACTTGAGAGCCTGAAAGATCCTGGACATTTTCAGATCTGTGAAGATCTGAGGAGTTCAGTTCTAAAACAAACTGGCAGGTGATTAAACCCTAGTGAGGGAATTCCTCCGTCTAACGTCACCATCCAGAAAAAGGAGGCGTCCTGAGTAACATTCCTGTGTAAAGACCGAAGCATCAATCGTCAACTGATTATCACTGCAAAATTACCACACTCCTCAGTGACACTAACACTTATGAGACCCCCATAAAGCAGATACAAGAAGAAAGTCATGCATATGCAGGGTGTAACATCTCGGTGTAGGCATCAGTATGTATGGTGGTCAGTAGCTTTTTCCCTTTTAAGCTGTTGTATGCAATTCATGTCTTTCATCTAGTAGCTGCTTGTGT